ACACGTGGTATAAATTTGTTTTATTGTTTGTAAATCCAAAGTTCATGGTGGCTCTAACACAAAGCAATTGCTAGGATATTTAATGAAATTCACTTAGTCAGGACTCATCTTTTTTGTATCAAGTTATAAATAAGGTTTCTGGATGCTTATACTTGTGTTACATTATAACACTTCTTAATTCCTCACACAATATTATTAATAGTTCATTTACGGCTATTAAATTAACCTAACGTTGTCCCATTTTGGGAAAAGGACCATGCAAAGTGCGGTTGAATTTATAATATCATGCACTGAGGGTCGGGGGAATTAAATTTTCCCCTTATGCAGTAATCATCATCACATCACCAATAAGCTTTTCTCGAGACGAAGGAAACATTTTGTGTTTATTTATCATTTGTTCGTTTGGGATAAGCTCGGGACAGTCCACGATATAAGCTTTCAAAGCTAATTGTTTCAAGTAACCAGTCACTTGGATCGTGGCATCATTTAACATCATGTAAATTCTTTGTTTGAGTCGTTGATAAAGTGTGGTATCATCATGTAAATTCTGTTTTTAAATCGTTGATGAAGTGTGGCAAATATTAACCTCATGTAATTTTGCTAGCTTTGCAATTTTTCACCTCATGCGATGTAATTTTCTTTGCTGCATAATATAAATTGAACCTAAATTTTCATGCTCTACAGTTTCTAACCACACGTCATTTTTTTGTTTGCACAAGTTTTACCTCACATCAGATCTTCTTTGTTTTTGTAAATTTTTGCTAGTTTTTCTGGCTACGTAAATATTTTGTTAATTAATGCTTCCCATATAAATTGTCTGATGCTGTTTCAAATTTCACAAGAGTGTTATTTCAAATGTTGTTTATTGCTCTTTTCGAAACTTTAACACTTAGCCGGTTGTAGTTTAATGTCAGAGTTATAAAAAGTTAACCTTTAAAAGGGAATTGGGGTAAATAACTCAGAAACACGTCGCAGAAGGGGAGGGCACGATTCGTAATCGAGCTGCACAAAAGACGCGGATCTTGAATAGAAGTCAGGAGAGCGGTCGGGACGACGTGACGCTCGCGGCTTGGCCCAATAGCCGGGATTTCCAACCACGAGTTTGTGACCGTAACGGCCTGCTCGCGCAGCACGTTTCTTCGTGATAGAGGGGTGCTGGGCGGCATGCTTGCCGACAGAGTAGAATCACCGTCGTAGTGGAAGAACAGCCACAACCAGGAGCCCCAAACTCCGCTCGTGCTACAACGACCCCTATGAGTAAGTTTACTGTGCTCTAGAGTGAAATTGATATTGTCCGATCGCCACACTCTTATAGCGCTCTGTTGCCGCTGTCGCTACATAGAGTTTTTATCAAAATTTTGCTCCCTTGTTGACTGCCATAATTTAAATTTGCTATCACGCGGCCGTAATAACTTGTGCATCCAGTTACTTTAATGTAGCTTTTTTTGTTTTTATTAGATTTGCGATATTCAAGTAGTTGCATTGATTCCGAACGTTTAATTGGATTTCATTCCAAGTTAGGCAAGTTTTTTTGTAGCTGAGGTGTCTTCAACCGGCACAACTTAATCGCATTTTTTTTTTCTTTTTTTTTGTCAGTGGAGGAATAAATGATTTTGTGTCCTCCATATATTTTGTGTTTTATTTGGCGGCACTTTTCCAACCTTGGGGTCCACCACTTGCATCTGAACGGATTCCGCCACAAAAAAAAATGAACAGTCCATTTTGTTAGAAGATCACAGCCAAATTTTCGCATGTCAATTGAAGGCGGGATATTTGGGTTATCACACCAGTATGGTTTAAACACGTTTCTAAGGATGACTCGATTACAAAATTATGTTACTCGGCCAATCCAAGTGCGAGCGCTTTTTACTACTACAGTCTTGCATTCTGGACAGTCTGAATAGCCAGTCTCATGCAGTTGAACAAAAAACAAAAGTGGTTTAAATTTGTTTAGACAGAGCTTCCCTTGCCTTTGAAGTACATACAGTCAAACAAGTCCAGTTTCTTAGAAAAATTATAAAATTTGATTTTGCAGATTTTATTTGTTTCATAACAAGTTAAAAAAAATATGTGTCGATTGCTAAACTACAGTTAAAGAGGCATGGTATGTGGATGTAGTTCATAATAAAATTGTGTAGTAACATCATCAAACTTTTTAACAAGGATATACACCAGTGTAATACTGATAATATCAGTAACATATGTCCAAAATTTCGGGAAAATTTTTTTCAATAAATTCATTAATTATTTTTATGCTTACGATAATCTTAAAACGTTATAAAATTTTGACTTTTTTTTTAATCTGAACGTCTTAGGGTTGTAAAATAGCTTACACTTAGACCCAGCAACCCACCTAATAGTTTACCTAACGATTAGTTGATAAATCAAATTTTTCAAAATAATAATCATTATGCGAACAAAACAACTAAGCTCTAAATGAAGAAAGCAAAAATTCTTAACCCAAAGGGTATTGAAAAATATTTTAGTGACGTAACTGTAATTCTGAATGTAAGTTTCCAAACTGAAAAAATATAGTAAGAAAATAAAATGTTATCATTGTGATAAGTTTGTGTACCATGCAAAAGAATACAAAAATAAAACTGGACAGATTGATACAAGGAGGGTTAATAGCGTTTTACAGCAAATAAATTTGAAACAGATATAGACAGACAGACAGGCGGAAACAGGAGACTACTTTTTTCGTACTGTATAAGGGTCATGAAATGTCGAGAAAATATAAAAGCGGCAATTCGTCCGATGGACTCGCTTACAATAATCCTTCGCTTACGCTCGGGAATTACAAATTCAAAAAAATAAAACTGTAGAAGTTACAAGCCTTGAACAAGGAGTGAATAAGAATGTGTGTGCAAACAGTAAAACATTTTTAAAATTCTTCTGTAGATCTTGAGAATAAAGTGACGATGAGTATGAGAATTTGTAGCCTCATTCACTGAAGACGATAAAAATTACTCTTTCATGGTTTGCACTTTCTGACGTCGCTACCCAACACGGTGCTGGAAGTTGAAAATAAAGATCTCAAGGATGCTTTTTAGTTGCACACACTGCACTGATAGATTTCACAGTATTTTTTTATTCTACACTTGCAAAAAGTTTCTAAAAACTGTTAATAAAAAATATACCATCATCAGTTGTGTTGTTCTGTGTTAATCAACGTTGGTTAAAAAAGTTATATATATTTTAGGAGCCTATCAAATATCAAACATTATAAAAACAACAGATTTTTGTTGAATTTTTAATGCGAGAAATTTCGTAATTACTGTCTATAAGAGAACGTCGATCACTAATTCATAACTACAGGCCTGCCCGGAACTATGGTTAGATTATTAAAAAAATAATAATAAAAAATACAGTGAAATCACTATTCTTGTACTGCCAGAATTACTTAAAAACAATCTCTATACGTAATGTTTAATGCGCAGCGTATCGTTCTAGTTATAGTTTGACCTCTCAATGAAAAGTAAAATGATTTGAGAATGAAATATTTATAGAAGACGAAATTATAAGCTTGAACTATAGAACCGCTAATATATAAAATGTCGGTAATAGAGAAGGAACCAGTCTTATAAATTTAAAACTTAAACTTTTATGGCCATGCAGGACGACTAGAATGAAAAAGAATACTAGTTATTTATGACATAATCAAAAAAAGTGCAATAGAATACAGCGTTTTCGTTTATGTAATCATCTCAGGAAAAAAAAACTTGATAATTTAGATGCTACTGATGAAAAATTATACGCCTATACAAAAACAAGGAAAGATAAAGTCGAGAAGTTTGTGTTGCTAGTGTGTAAGCTGATTTAGAGCAATTTGGAAATAATAAATTTTACATTATTCAGAAACAAACTGATCGCCAACTATAGTAATAACATTCTGCACAAATTTTTTCATCAAAACTGGTGCTCAGGCAATATTGTTCGCAAGTTTAACCTACTTAGGTACATTAAAAATTTAATATTTTTCTGATTTCATTTAAAATAATTGCAAGTTAACACGGTTTAAGGCTTTATATAGGAAAAACTACATTTTCCAGCCTTTACCATTTACAGAGATTATATTAAGGCAGCTGTAAAATTTAGTAGTCCCCCGACAAATTTACTACTACTATTCATTAAATACATCTCGAGATGTGCCAGAAAATGCAAATTACACTTAAAGTACTTCTTCTACCTATTAGTAGGTTATCTCCAAGAATTAGATAGCTGTTCTCGATTTAATTCGTTGAGACGTCATAACATAGACCGAACCAATAAAATTTCAAACGACAGGATGTGTATGTTTGGAAAGACTATAACATGATACATGACAACTTTTAGTTTTATTACCCTAACAGATCACGGATCTAACTATACCGAATTTATGCTATGAAAGAATTTGTTTGAGCTGCAGCAATAACTTTTCATTACACTGCAGTTGAGAAAAGTAGATATTCTACCAACTATACATTACCCAATAATAAGTTATTTCTAATAAATAACACATTTCAATAATAAAAAATCATTAATTCGCAGATATTTTTTAATGGTGAATGATTTTATTTTTCAATGAAACGTTTAAATTCTGCGCAAAGCGTCTAAAAATCAAATTATTATGAAATGCCCTCATTCACCTTACTCTTGTTTAGCTTTGGAATATGTGATTATGTAAATACTCTTTCAAATAAATATAATTTCTCACCAAATTTAGTTATTAAATGAATTAAAAAATTAATGGTTGTTTGTCCTTTTTTTGCATATTGGTGATACTGACTAACAATAAATCAATTTCAAGTTATTTAACGACAAAATTTGACATCCAGGATAGCAATTTGAACCAGAATTTATTTACAATTTGCTTATGCAAATATCAACATCATGTCAATATTGATTTTTGTCTGTATTTGAAAGACGTTTCTGGTTTTCACATTACGCTTTATTGTTGCTTAACCTGCTTAATCGAAACTATTTCTTAAACAACAATCGTATATTCCTCAAATAAGAAATTTATCATACATTGCTTGTTTTTATTGAAACAGTTATCGTTACAATTATCCATTTTAAAAATGCAACTCTTCTAAACCTAACAAATCTTCGATTGTCCCTAAATACAGCCTACATACAGAAATTTAGCAATAAATACATAGGTACTTAAAAAACAATCCTTCAACTATAAGTCATTTAAACAATTTAAACATCTTTGGTTTCCTCGTAGTTACAAATCATTAGTATATTGCACTAATGAAACATGTCGGCTATTGATGTATATATTTGGAAAAAAAACTGACGCCTATGTTTACAAAACAATAAAAAAAATAAAATAAAGAAACAGTTAAATACTATTGATATATCTCTAAATTATTCGATAAATTGCGGTAGGTAGTAACATTAATATCCACTCACAAGTGACAGAAGTGTTCTAAGTTATTACGTGAGTCCCAATGACATACTCATTGTGTTGCTGGCAATTTCGATGCCAAAATGTACTTAATTAATGACTAGCACAACTCGTTTCTGTGACTAATGAAACTTGCGGTTATCGATATTGTTGGGCAAACCTCGCCAAACCCTACGGTCATCTCGTTGAATGTCACTGTATGAACGCTCTAGAAACCAGAACTGTTATTATCATATAACTTGTTAAATTTCAAGTATCTTACCTCTAAATTTTATGAATTGAATATCTTGAACGTTAGGAACATTCCGCCTTGAATAATTCGAAGTTTCTCTGGTTGAACGGAAGGAACCCATACCCATGCCTCGGAGGGATGGAGGTTGTATGCATAAAACATCTTGATTCATTCGATAGGACGTTATTGACGGGGTCTCAAGGGTGCTATCGTCGTAGGTGTTGATGTCGATGTCAGTCAAAACTGCAACAATAAATCAGTATTTTAATTATAATTGTTTCTCTTATTATTGTGAATGAAAGCGTAGGATGAATTTTTAGCAAACAATTTGTCTTCATTTTTTAATGTGAATGTTATCTATAAGTTGGAATGAAAAAATAATTCGATTGTTTTTTAATTGGTCGAATGTCAATTATAAAAGATGGAAATAACATCATACAATGTCAAAACTTGTTTTAACAGTTCTTGTAACAACCTTAGAATAATTGCTTCTGGCAAGAAAATCACATAAAACATATTGTGCTACCCAAATTTTGTAATATACTTGGATAGAGGAAAACATTTCAAATTATATTGCTTAGCCTAATTTTAATTAAAAATCAAACAGTCAGCAGGTAAAAAACTTTCAGTAAAACTTCTGAAAAAATTATTGTTTGATATTCTGTCTTTTCTGTATATTCTATTTTTAAAACGTTGAATAAGTAGACCTCTGAAAGATTCAGATTTTCATTTCATGTGAAAAATAAAAGGTCATTGTTTTTAACAGGTTACTATTGATGTACTCAAATCTCGCTTCTATTGATTATTCTAAAAAGCAGTAGTCGTGAAACTCATCTTACTGACACCTTATTCATGTCCAGATTATTTGTAAAATGTTTCAGACGTTTCCTTCTAACATCTTTGGCTCAGATGCGAAAACGAAATTTGTAGTTGTCTTGTCTTCCACAACTAGGGCTTTCACTTTTGTGATCATTGCTTTTTGCTGCTTCTGCAGATCTTCTAGGCCTTGGATCTTCTTCGACTAGATTTAGAAACAGGCCAACATTTCTATCATTTGTAATCATTGTTGATGGATAGTACTTTCTTTCGTACGAAATTTTCTCCTATTAGATATTCTAATTTGAAATGTCTAGGGTAATTGTAGTTTATTGATCTTTAAAATTCGCAAGTGAAATAAAAACAATGATTTCGTAAAAGAGTAAAAATATATTCATTGAACATGTTAAAGTTAACATTGCGAAATTCCTCAAGGGTGTACACACATTGTACATGAAAATTCTGTTTATTTTCTTGAAGTGGGTATACCTTAATTACTTGTAACTGTCTGCTAGTTGATTGGACAGTTTTCGGCTTACCAAAGTTAACTTGCGCTAATATGATCCTATGATAAAATACTTATAGTGCATTTCTGTGTCGCATAAAAAAAAATAATTTATATATTTAGTTACATCTACTTGATTGTGCCAAATGTATCGGATGTTTCATCTAAAAAAAGTAATTTTTGATCATGATCTAATTTTGATGATCGAAAAGATCATGTACATATACAAAACATTTTTAGCGTATGCACTCACATGGGTTTTATCATAGTATATAAATAGATAAATATGTTCAATGAGTTGAGAACAGCTGATAAGCCTGCACAATTCGACCGCGAAACACCTTTACGATATTTGGTCCGCAAATATTTTGACTTGAATTTTGAAAGGGCTTTAGATAAGCTTTATTAAAGTTATTAAATTAAATACATAAAAAACAATATGAAGCCGACCCAATTCACAGTGATCCATCCACTTCACAAATAAAAAGAGCAAAAACAACATTAATTGTCACATAATAGAACCAAATTTACGACGAAAATCTATATCTTTAGTTCCACCAACTGTACCGACATTAAAATGTAAACCAGAAAACCAAACATTCAGTAAACTTTTACAAACTTTTTCTAGAATAAAATTTTAATATTCAAATAGTTCACTAATTTATACTGCAGTTTAATCTTTCCTACTTCCCAGAGCCATGAAGTGTGGAGCCATGGTTAACTTTAAAAGATAATTTCTTAACAGAACTGCAAATTTAACAGTTATGTGCAATGTTCTAGTCAATGCATAATTTAAACATCAGGTTTTATCTGTCTTAACTTGACGAGATCTGTTCCACCTGGTCGTAATAAAACAACAGCTTATCATTATATCAATCTACACAATAATTAAATCAGATTATTTTTACTACACAAAAGCAAAGAAAAATACCGTACGATGTATTTTCAGTTTAGATCTCTGAAACAGCACGAGAAAATTAAATGAAAAATGTTTATCACATTCAAGAGAACCTGTGTGAAGTAGAAAAGTAAATTAAACGTTGCCGTAACTGTAACACCTGTTGTACTTGAAGCAGTTATAGTAATTACATCATGTTTCATACGTAAAATGCAGGCAGGTACAGCAAGGGAAAGTATGACCTTTATTTTACTCGGTGTGACAAGGTCCTAATTGCTTTCACACGACGTTAAGTATCTACATGTAAAAATACTAAATACCACTACAGAACTCAGCCTTTTTTATTTTGTATTTAATTTACCTAATTGCGAAAATTGTATTTTCTTTTGCTTATTTTCGTGTCATTGTTGGACTCTGAAAGTCCGGTATGTATGGCATGGTAGATTATATTCGAAACACGTCGACAGTTCCATATCAAAGCGATAGAAAGTGGGCGCTTTATTAGAAACCACCGTGGTCAGATTCATTCTGAAATTAAACTACTACAAGTGATTCATTTGCTTTAACAAAGAGAAATAATGCTCATTCTCATTTGCTGTAAGAATGACAAACAATATCGAGTTAACAGTCTTCCTACTCCTCTACTTTATTTACAACATTTGCTTAGGAACTATTGTTTGCAATTACATAGTCTAATTTAGAAAGTGCTAAGTACATGGTTTCGGAATAAATTAATGCATCCACATGCAGATTTTTTTAATTTTATGCACGAAAGGTAGTAATTTTTCAAAAACATTTTAATAAATAATTATTGTTGAAATATGCAATTAAGGACATAATAGAAAATAAAAATGTCTGATATGAAGAGATTGGTTTAATTGTTCCACTCTAGTAACTTGATATTTTCCGAAAACTAGACAGTAGTTCTAGATTAAATATCGTGGTCTATAATAGACAGTGCCGAAAACAGAGAATATTTAGGTATAGGCGAACCTTGTGTTAGGCGCCCCTCCTCTATACATAAAAAAGCAATTTTACAGAACAGTTTTATTTATATTTTTTAATAACTATGCAAAACAGATACTATGATAAAATATAAAAAAAAGAAAAAAAAAATCGAGATTATACATATAGGTATATAATATGTATAAATATGTAATATGTTTCTGAGTTTCCGTTCAAAATAAAAAAAGATTAATATGATATAATTCTTGGTACAACATAATTTTTGGACGAATTTGGCGCCCCTTGTCGTTGGCGCCCCTAGGCAAGGGCCTACTCGGCCTATAGCTAGTTTCGGCACTGATAATAGATACCATAGCAAATAATCAATAAAAAAAGTTACATCTAAATTTCGCAAACTGTTGTTTTAGTTATTCCAAAGTAATTAGTATTGATGTGCTAGGAGATCATCGAAAGATATTTCATAATAATCGACGAAAATTGTAAAAGAAAAACTTAAAAGTACCTAAACTAGCAATTGGAGCAACATTAATAGAAATACTGGTCTAAATATAAAGCAACAATTTTCAAAAGTGAAACAAAATATTACAAAAAATAGTAACATAAATTTAATTAAAAACTGAAAATTCTTAATAATGTAGGTATATGCAAATAACTAAGAGTAACATTAATTTAGATGACAGGAAAAAAGCAAAAATAATGGAATCAAAATCAGTTCAGCTGTAATTTATTCATCGACAAGGGAACAATTTTAATGTAACGTAAAAAACATTTATGATTTTGTTGTAATATTTTACCTATGTGCCTTATAATTTGTTGTAAAAGTTGCTGTTGTAAAAAGAGAAAGCATATACCATCTTTTAGTGTCGGTAAACGTAATAAAATAGCTTTTATCTCCAAACTCTTGAATAATTCGAAGCATGCGACAACAGGAACAGTACAAAAGCTTCAACAAAATGCGGATTTAACAAAACTGAATTACTTACTTTCTTTTTTACGAAATGAAAATGGTTGGTATCTCCATCTCTTTGCTTTTTCAATTTTGGAAACTTTTGATGCACATTTTTCGCCTTAAAAACAAAGCTGTTTTGTTAGAAGCAAGAAAGGTTAAGTTAGATACAGAATAAGACATTTACATTTCAATTTTATGCGATACAGTAATTTGTAAAGTGAAGTAAATTTTAAAATCTTCGTGACCTTTCATATTGATAAAATTATGCGCTTTTTAAAGCAGAAATGGGGAGTTTTATTGACAACATTATTTAAAACATGCCATTTTTATTCTGGATGTGTTATTAGCTGCTATTGAATCTAAAAGCTTCCATACTTACGAGATAGTCTGTTATCGAGGGTGGGATGCTCCCAATCCCTGTCAGTAGGGACCCAATCGCGCCTTCTTACTGTGTCCTGTTTTACACTCTCTATAGGTAATTGCCTCATCGCTGCAATAAAATAAATATATGAGACGTGGAAATCGCAGAACTTTGCTGGTAATAAAAACGTTTGTAATTTTTGTAATATCCGTACTGGTAAACTAAAATGACTGTTAATATACTTATATACATAGTTTAGTTCAAGGTTTGTCGCACAAAAATGGTACACAAAAATGTAAACACCTGGGTTCGGACGTCTCGAGGTCTAGCATAGATTTGTTATTTATCCCCCGTGAGAATAGTCTCAACGGAACTGCTTTTAAATATGTAAACTGCAGTGAAATTGTTTTTCATGTTCTGCATAAAATGTCAAGAATAGTGTTGCGAGTTGGTGATTCATTCTTGCAATTTCACACTTCCGTTCGTAAAATAACTTTAATCTGAATGTTTTTAGAACGAAGTGATATAACGCAATTGTGGAATTATAATTTTTACTACCACATTTAACAAGTGGGTGATTTGATGATCGATACACGTCAATGTTGGGAAAATCTTGATAGTGACGTACAGCGTATGTTCTTACGTTATCAGGTTATCACATTATCAACACTTTTAAACGTAAGTCTTAAGAACTGCGTCACTTATAACGTCTATGCATTCAATTATTTATTATCGAAACAACATCGCGTAAATATGTATTTGCCAAAAATGGTCTTTCTTAAAAATAGTTTATTTGATAATTTAAAAGTTACCGAAAAAAGTCACGATCCTTACAACGTGGTTCTGAGAAACAGACGAACAATGTTTAGAATTTGTGTATTTACCGCTAACATCACTGACGACATCGTTTAAATGACAGACAGATTAAGAAATTAGGGGACACGTTTTTTAGATTCGAAGAAAAAATGGTATTTGAGGATATCTAAACACTATTTGAGAATCAATAACGCTTTGTCATTTGTTCTGTTTTGTAATTTTTGAAAATATTTTTTTTTAGTTTATAAAAAATTTGAATAAATAAGTATTTAAGACAGGTTTCTATATTAAATTTCGGTTCATTCAAAAAATGCTAGAAAGTGTTATTTAGAAATGTTCAGATTCATCTGCTATCATTTTGTTTAACATAAAATGCATATGACGTTAGCGGGCATTAAGTGACGTTACAAACAAACAAATACAATGTAGGTTAAACCATCTGATAATGTCGGAATGCCTGTAAAATAAATGTTTTTTAAGTAAAACATTACAGTGAGGTCCTTTTTGCATACTTTTTTTGCAAAATAAACCATAGTTTTATATTGTTTTAAAGTTTTATAAAAATTCTGTAAACACAACACAATTTGACTTTAGTACGGAACTTAGAATGCATGCATTACACATTTATTATTACTAACGCGGTTTTAAGAGTGGTTCGCTAAATTATGAAAAAGCATCGATGCAAACCAACTTATTTCCTTCCTTGTAGTTGTATTTTCTCTGTAAATACATTATCTTTACTTGAATAAAACAACAGCGCTCATGAATGCAAACAACATCGCATACTCTTCTCTTCTGTTAGAAACCGCCTTTTAATATTAATTTAATGATAACAGAATGAATGAATGTGTGACTTATTTTATTTCAATTTCATTTTTAAAACGAGTATGAAATTTTGTCGAAAATCGTGTAATAGATAACGCATGATCTTACGTAGTCTGTGTTGAGGCAACATCCATTCTCCCAAAGAACCGGTGATGTTGTTGTTGTCCCTACTTTTACCGTCATGCGAATGCCTCATTGCCTTCCGCTTTTCTTTACTGAGAATCATACATTCCTCAATTAGTTCAAACCAGTCTTCTAATCCGTCCGGAGTCCGCAAGTAGATCTTTCCATCCCTCCCCAAAACCAAAGCAACAATACTGTAAGTCTTCTTGTTTTCCCATTCCACTCGTTCAATGTCAACCAACTTGACTTTGAAGAGAAACTGCCCCATTTCAGATATTTTATCAGCCCCGGAAGCCCTTTGAAAACAATACAAGTAATCCCTAGTCAGTATGAAGTAGCGTTCCTTCCATCTACTGAAGAGTTTCTTTCGCTGCTGCCAGAGAAGGCCCCGCTTGATCGTGGCAGTCGACTCCTTTCCGAAACTCGAAGAAAGAAGAGACTGAAAAGAATAATTCGGAAATTTAGAATAAATTTTTAAGAAAGGTCATTTCAGTTATTTATTAAATAGCGGTCCCCAGGCAGCCACCACGAACATACTTAGGATGCCCGTGGGAACCACAATATACTGCTCGCAAGTTCTTGTCATGTATACTGCTCAGGGAAAACATTAATAAACAGTATTACCACCAAACGGAATGAGAACGTCGATACAGCGTTCGCAGAATTCTATTGGATTTTACATACCAAAAGTAGTTATCTTGTGGTGCGTGATAAAAATGCCTTGCGGTCGTTGTCCCGGAAGACGTTCGACCGATTTGCATCCGGTTTGCCTCAAGTTAAATCTTATTTGAACCAATATAAATTAGAAACTGCGAAATTACTTTTCAAAAAAACTGCTACCCATGTGACTTTTAAATTAAGGTGAAACTGCTAACTGCTTCGGTAAACCTCCACGATTAGTTTCGAACAGAAACGCATTTAAACGATTAGACCTTAAATAAGAAAAGTAAAAAATATACGATATTAGTTTTGATTGCTGTGATTGCTAAATTACTACGAGCCAATAATTTAACATATTAAAAATTGACAGGATAATTTATTAGTTTTATAATTTGTAGATAGGTTTTCGCAGATTTCGGGGCAGGAGCTATGTTCATTAACAATTAATTATTTTTTCAAGAAAAGATATAATGTTAGTAAAAATATAAAAGCAACTGGGTGATAAAAGGCTCGTGAAAGTGCTTGTACATGGAATGATTAAAACAAAATATTGTAAACATTTTAAACGTGTCTCCTTAATTCAGATTTATTAGTTTTCTCTACGTTAATGTTTTGAGGTCGTTTATCTTGAGAAAAGCTAGATCTTTAACTGTGTTTTTTGAAAACAAGTTAACATGTTTCAAATGAAATTTGTAAAGTTATAATCCATAAAATCTCATGTTAACATGACCACAAACTTAGCATTCACGTTATTTTCACAATACATGCATTAAAATTAGAAAATCACAATTTGAATTCAACGTAAAAAAAATCTACAAAAATATTTAAGAAACACAATGAAGTACTCGTTTTCAAGTCCTGGTTTTTTAAAATTAAAGCAGTTTAATTTGAGGATCTTAGACAGTCACAGTTTGTTGCTACTGCTGCGTCTACCAAATTACATAAAATGTACTAATTTGTTGAATTTTTAAACAATCAGCTTAAGCCACAATCACGAGTAAAAACAAACACAGGACAAAACGAAAAGTGAAGCACATTTTTTGTGTTCAAGATTTTTAAACAAATTATTATGTCATTGTTAGCGAAAATTAAAAAAATATACAGCAACACACATTGCACAATGTCAAACTAATAACAATTGTTCAGGGATAACTTTTTTAATACATCCTGGGTAACTAATTACATAAAATTCGGAATTCTTCAAAAATTAATTTTGAGACGACGACAGCGGCTTTCTGGAGAAATTGAATAAATTAATTTTTTTCACTAGCAGCCAGGACGCATGCAAATGTCGACTCATTTAGTGGTAGCAAATTCAATTTTTGCTACCACGGGTTCAAAAAGAAAAATTGAGGTTATGTACGCAATGTTTGATGTGATTATTTCTTAAAAAATGAACAAATGTGTGCTACAAACATTACTTGAGCATACGCACGGTAGTTGGTAGACGGTAGAAGATAAAATGATTAACTCAGCGACAAGTATAAACGGTTTTCTTTGTGTTGAAGGTTTGGATCAAGTATGACTAGAAATCAGAACAAAATCATGTTGCGTCAAAAAATTGAACGTTTATTTTTTCAATTTATTGTCTTATGGTTCCTACTAGTGAAAAAAATAGTATATTAACCACGGTTGCAAAGCCACTTCTAGACCTCGCGCTTCAGAGCCCTCGACGCTGCGCGTCTCGGGTTCTAATTTGCGCTCGGTCTAGAATGCTTGGCCTTGCAACCTTGGCTAATAATATACTATTAGTTAATGGTTGTATTTCATTTTAAACAGTCTGTATACATATAAGTAAATTTTAAATTAGTGGTGAACTGTAAATCACAGGAAAAGAAGCATGCATATGCTGGGAAATATCTTAACGGTATTTTGAAAGAAGTCACAATTTTCTTCACGTTTTATTACCTTCAGGGTAATGTTAGAACACAGTTAAATTTCAGAATAAACCGTTTTCGCTTAATATTCTTTTACAGATAAACAGATGGGATACCTATAGTTTTCGTATTCTATAGTCGTCAAATGCCGATAATGCACGAAATTTGACATTAGCTGTTACTTGAAAGTAAAAAAATATGAGATAATTTTAATTGTATTTTATTTTACAAGATTGTGTCTTTCATTAACACATACTTTAACAAAATGTGTTAACAACAGTTCTAAAATTTCTCTTGAGTACCTTAGAACCGTTTAGCGTAAGAACCATCCTGTATTTGGGTCGTATATTTCGATTCGCAATTTACATAAACTATTTGCAAATTTGCGATACATCTCCATTTTTAATATGTATTATTTGGGAAACTTTCGTGCTGTTATTTATGAGAGGAAATATGTGTATGTATAGAGGACATAAATATTGGCAAAGGAATAAACGTAGGCACCGGTTTAGCCCAACTTTTATCATTTTATATATTATTTATTGACAAGTTTTGAACGGGATATGAATTTTATATTGCTCTAACCTTCCGCTATAATGCTGAAAATGCGCACACGAATCAGTAAATTAAGAATTTCGTTTGGTCTTTTATATAACTGATGTGACATTTATTTTCTTGTGAAATATGAATATTGTTGAAAAAGCGAAGTGAATACAGTCAGATCTGTGGAGTCCAGATGAAATTTATATTACGATAGTATGTCGCAGATTTTATTCTTATATAGATATATACGGGTTTTTGTTTAGCAAATACATAATAATAACCAGGTCGCCATAAATTGTGTCACATGCTTCTACTTGTAATTAACGTTAAAATCAATTGCAGACACGTAAAATAAGCCTAAGGCTTATATTACTTTCTATTACACGCATGTTTTGTTGTCACTGAAGAAAGATTTTCGTATTATTGTATCTAGTCTCCTTTGAAAGTTTCTATTTTATTTATTTATTCTTTTTTTTTGTTACTATACAAATTGTATTGTTACTTTTGTGTCTGTTGTACATATTATATTGCCGCTTCTATCCAATATCTTAACACTGGGTTATTTATTCATTGCTCATTCACATTTTGTACTCCTTTCTCCACGTGTTTGTTGCTTTATTTCATTCATATATAGGAGATAATTATGTTCATTTTCTTCGTTTCTAAATTTCAGTCTTTTTTTTTCTTTAATTCTTTCACTTTGTTCTATCACCTTTCTACAAAATAAAATGTCAAAATCAAAAGGTATAAAGATTTAGAACTCTGCTACATTTTGCATATTTTCTTGTTAAATCTATTTAAATAATTTCTAATCTATACTATTTATTTACTTGTTATGATATTATAGCAAATAGCGATAGTGATAAGTTAATTTTTGTTTGATTAAAGATGTTTGCAAATACGATTAAATTTTTACAGCATGCAGTATTATAAAATAAAATTGCCTCTAAAAAACCGAGGTTACGGTATTGTTGACAGCAGTAACCTTTCATATCGTATATACAAAGATGTATCCAATCACAAATTCAATAATATTCAAATAACACATGAATAAAATAAAAGGGATTCTTTTATTACGTCATTAGCATATTTATTTCACTACTTATTTCAAGGCGGCGCATAGATGCATGTTTTTATTTATTTTGTAGACACGAGAGCTCTCGGCAGCTCTTTATTATTTCAATTTCTCCTATTTACATACTTTATGCAAACTCCAGTCTTGTTATAAATTCTATACCTCAAAGTCTATAAGATTCTCTTGGCCCTTATGTAAATCTGACCCTGCTAAAGTATTCTTGCGACATCCTCCATAGACGTCCTTATCTCTGTTGCGTAGCAATTAAGTTACAAACACTACAACAATTAACAACGGCACTTTTAAATATAGATAAAAATGTGTAAGTCAGAAGCCAGAACTTCCTTCCTCATTATCAAGTTGATAAGGGAGAACAAGCGGCATTTGTTTATTATTGTTTATCTTTCTTGTTAACACTACGCATGTAAAACCGCTACTTCTCGCTGTGACAGGTATGAAACGAGAAATATGATGTAAACTGTTAAAATATATGACGAGTTCCATGAAGGAAAATTAGGGGAAACCTTTTCCAGCAACATTTCCGTCCATTTCTAAATTGCCTACAGAAAAGTAAATAGTCTGAAACTAAATTCCGCGGGAAATGGAAGCTGGAGGAACCTAAGTTGCGTTTACACGAATGCAGTCTGCATTCTTCGCGTTTCGACCCGTTTTAATAAATCTCTGAAAGCAATAGCTTGTTCGGAAGTCTGGATTCGTGTTTGGTATTTTTAAGTTAGATTTTCTTCGTTTTCGGGAAACATTGTATTCAATGCTTGGAGCAATGACCGTCATTAAATGTATCACAAATTGAGAAGCCTGCGATAAATTGTACGAGACGCAACAAACGTGGTGAAAAATTAATTGAAAGGAAAATGTTGTAGGCCATTTTCCAGCCTATAAATTAACTCCTACATTACGGTCTGCGCTTTTTGTTATATTAGTTATTTTTAGGAAAATGAAATAGGTCATTTTTTTGGCGGCTGTGTAGTTACCTATCATTTTCAATAAACTTAGGTGCTAAAGTTTCATTTTGTTCCGGTATGTGTTGCCTAATATAAATAAAAAATATATGATATACAGACGTAAGTGAAATAATTTAGTGCAAAATTAATAAGATTGTAATCAGAGCACAACACGTTATGCACACCTGTGGCACCAAATTTTTTTAAATAAATGTCGACGACATCTTATTACATATAAAAAAAAAAAACGAAAAAATTAGTTCTTTTTCATCCAACATGATGTCATCGCAGTTGGCGGAAAGCGTCAACATTTGCGTGCAGA